TTTCTTCTCCTAATTTGTTTTTTTTTCTTTCTGGAATTTTCCGAATCTCCGGAGCTTCCGTTTCCAGGTAAAATTCTCGGTTACGAACAGATTAGAAATGATTATGTAGCTTCGATTTCTCCGTATGCTTGGATTATTGATTTGATCGGATTTTAGTTTACGCTTTGGTTGCTTAGTGTTGTTAGATGATCTATGGATCATAAACAGAACATCGGTAGCTTTTTTGTACTGGGAAAGTTACGAATTCATTTCATATTTCTCTCGCTGAAGTTATGATCCTGATTAAAATCGATTCGATTATCGTTGACATATACAGCTAAATCAAAGGTCATGAGCTTCGGTTTCCAATTTTGTTTGTTCCTCTTCGAGATTTTGGTGATTTGGGTTTTTTTTGTTGTTGTTTTGTGACACAGATTTTGTGTGACCGGATTTTTCTTCGGTTGCTCTCCCCATGAGAATTTTGATGCTTACAACACTGTAGCTGATTTCCTTAGGGTTTTACTGTCAAATTCATCTTTAGTTTCTCATGTTTGTAGATTTTGTTACTTATTTATTTCATACATGAATCTTTTTCTCTTATCTTTACAGGAAAGAAAACCCAGTAAATCGATTTCGGATCTTCCGTGGAGCTTAGAGAAAGTTTTGAGATAAAGGGTAAGAGATACTAAGAAACTCCTCCCTGTAGAATTACAGTTTTTACTAGTAAAATTTTTATACAAAAATGCTAATTTAAGTATTGTGGATGATCGGATCGAGGTTTGATTTAGTTGAAACTGTAACATAAGAACAAAAAGAAACCACTCACAATTTCTGAGGTAATGAAATTATGATAGCTGTCTTTTATCGTTCTAGTGGTATGTGCTTTCTGGTGAATTTTCCAAATTTGCTGAGGTGGCTCCACATGAGATGAGATGAGATTCTTGTCTTAGCCAATACCATTAGCTTCCAAATTTAGACCCGGCACTAAAATGGGATTAGCGTTAATCCAAGTACTAGTTTCTTATAGTATTAAATTTATTTTTGTAACTTCTTTCAAATTTATCACTTTGGTAAAGAAGTACTCAATGATGAAAAGAATTTGGATCTATGATCTACCTATCTGTGTTCTTTTTGGGACCCACAAATTCTATTATTGTCTGTATACCTTGTCAGAGTGCAATTGCAGGATCTACTTCTATTATTATACTCTCTTTTTGTTGAATATCAAGATGCTATAACCTATGATCTGGATTCTGTAAAAGCCAAATTGTTAGTCTTAGTTTACTAATTTGTTATTATATATTTGTTTAGGAGCATGAATGTGAAAAGGATGTTACCTCTTTTTTTTATTAAATAATGACGTTTAATTTGAACAAGTTGGTTCTGCTACTCTTAACGTTTCTTCTGATATATATGTTTCTTCTCTCAGGTTCCAAAAACCTCTTATTGTTAAGTTACCTTGATTGATGATATTTGGTTGGAGAAACTGAAGAAAAAAAGTCATGAAAAAACATCGGTTTAGAGAGACCTTGAAGTCTTTCTTTGAGCCTCATTTTGATCATGACAAAGGTGAAATGCTCAAAGGAACAAAAACTGGTAATTTTCTTACATTACAAAGTTTTGTTTCCCATGTCCAATGAAATCCATTTGGTGATAATAACTGCTTACATGGAAACTACTCTCATCTTATGATGCAGAAATAGATGAAAAGGTCAAGAAAATATTGGGAATGGTTGAGAGTGGAGACATCGATGAGAATGAATCTAAAAGACAAGTGGTTTCAGAGTTAGTGAATGAATTCTACAACGAGTACCAGTCTCTGTATCGCCAGTATGATGATCTAACAGGAGAGATTATGAAAAAGGTCAACGGGAAAGGAGAAAGCTCTTCTTCATCCTCAGACTCGGATTCTGACCATTCTTCG